CAATGGAGCTGCCCCCTACTGGTCATTATAAAAGAAAGCAGGTTTAAGACACCTCCACGTTGGTTTTACTTCACAGACCCAGAACTTCTGTCCACTAATATTATACTGTCAATGGTCACGACCTAACCCTGCTCCATGGCGCTACCTGTGGTCACAAACTCAACAGGGTACCTTTAATCAAAGTACCACTAACACAAACTGACACATGCTAACCCTAAAGCTTTTAGTGCCCCTATTAACACTCATATTTGCCTGAAATCAGCAGGAATCATCTCAAAACAGCCTAGTAGACTTAAAAGGCTTCGACCAAGGCCACAGACATACAGGTAACACGTTAAACTCCAGCTACTGTCTTAACATACACCTTTTAAACCCAGTGGTTTTATTTATCTGCTGTGCTGCTAATTGCTAATTTCCCCTGAAAATAACTCATTTTCTTTTTGGCTAGCGCGCAGTGCTACGAGGAAACTTTTACTTTAGAGGAGGAGGAAATGAGAGATAAAGCAGTCAACGGGGCTGTATCGCAGCTATAGCAGCAGCGAATCATTACAAAATGAGCATTTACTTTTTTTATGTATAACAGCTATACTTCTGTCAGACAAGTCTCCAGCACATAATTTGCAGTTGGCCACACAAAATGAAAAATTACTCTGGCCAGAAGAAAGGAAGTAATAAAAAAAAGGGGATCGTTTTTTCCTCTAATGGCTTCAGCATGTGAAGGAGAGACTATGCATTCCTCCGCAGCCAAAGACAGTATACGTATGTCCCGTATTCTTTTTATCTGTCCATCAAACTCTGCTTCTCTGACATCAGGAGAGGCAATTGTTGTACTGGAATGTAACTCAAAGCAGATTTATTTAACAGGGTCATACTTATTTACAATACCTAACCAGTAAGGTTGCTTAAAAGGTCAAAAATATCAAATCATATTTGCAGTGATGGCACTTGAGGTCGGAGGGGGACATCAGGGGACAGTGAAAGAAGACAAACGAGTAAAATGTAATAATTAGACAGGTATCTTGTGTGTTATTCTGTGTATTAATGAGCAGGCCTACCCCATCCAATGCCGTAGTAGTAGAAGTGTTTGCTGCCCTCGGAGCCGAACACCTTCACCACCATACTGTAGAGGTGGAGACCCTCCACCAGCATCCAGGCGAAGGCGCTCAGAAAGAAGAAGTGAAGCAGGACAGCCATTACCTTACAAGGCAGCTAGGAGAGAGGGGACAGAATCTGGCTTTTAACATCCAAAATATTCTCTTTTTCATCATTATTTTGGCATTTTTTACTATTAAAAAGCTTTTTTTTATAATCACATTTTCCTGTTTTATGTTCTGTTTTTCACCAGTGGTTTGTTTTTGTTTTCTTTTAGATTCAATTATTCTTGATTTGAATCACTTATTTATTGGGAATTTCACTTTAACTCATTTTATATTGTTACACAGTGCTTCTCTTAATACATATTAATAGTAATTTGTATGTTCTAATAATCTGGATCTGATGCTTAATTCTTCTTCGAATAACGATCCCACAATCCCACAATAGAAATAGAAACAAATGTACAAACATACAAATACAAGGGGTACATTAATGAAGAAAGTTGGAGAACCACTGGATTGATCTATCATATCACTTTTCTCCTCCTATCCCATGCTTAAGAAATATATTTTAAAAAATGTATTCCATTAAAGCTCCATTCTCAATACTTATCAATGTAAATCAGGAACTACGGTTACTAATAATAATCTTTATTATTAAAACACATCACAGTAAATCACAATACAAACAATAATAAACAACATGCACAGTACAGACAGAAACAGATGTGGTTCCACTGTAAGTTATTATTTTATATTCATCATTCAAACACTCTTTGTATTTGTGATAATAATGGTAACCTGTAGTGTGTACCCACCGTGCCCGGGTCGAAGCGAGCGCTGATGAGCAGTAAGATCTCAGCCACCAGGATGGCAAAGGACAGGTTGGCGTGGATGTGGTAGCGTTGGTTACGTATGGTGCTGACTGAGCTGCGGAGCAGGAAGAGGACAACATTACATTAACTTGTTGTACTCTGGTAATAACGACACTTAATATATCAAAAATAAACGCTTTGAATACAGATGTGCAGTACAATATACAATATACATGTATATTAAACACAGCAGGACTCAACATTAACTTTTTGAAATATACCATTCACTTGTCCGTCAAAAAATGACAATCTTGGCAACTATCATTTCCAGCTTCACAAATGTGACTATTTGCGGCTTTTCCTTAAATTATTATTTAATTATTTCTAATTTATTTGTAATAATTTTGAGGTTTTAACTGTTGATTGGACAAAACAAACACTGTCAAAGTGTCACTTTGGGCATTTCTTACTATTTTCAGCATTTTTACAAACCAAACAATCAGTGGATTAATGGAGAAAATCATTAGCAGGGATCAATCATTAGTTACAATAGTTCAAAAAGAGCTCCACCTCCAGCAACTACAACAGTAAAATCCTGCTTTTACATTAATGAATGAGTCATAACATCTAATGACATCATGTATAATAATATAAAAGTCACAGGGTTTTTTTTTCTGCTTTCTTTGTGACTTTTAGTTTGTCTGGTGGGGCAAATAAACTTCTGTATGTGATGAACTGATACTTACGACAGAATTGCAAAGGTGACCAGCGTGATGGCGAGACAGAAGATGGAAATTGAGCAGCCAACATAACCGATGGTTGACAGTGCCACCCTGTGGCCGGTGGTGAGCTGTGTATGGAGAGAGAGGGAGAGAGAAATAGAGAGAGAGAGAGAGAGAGAGAGAGACGTCAGCATTAATGGTCGAGACAACATGTTATTATTATTTTTGCCACAACGCACACGCAAAGCTTAGTTCAGCCTGTTTCATTCAGCCTGTATCATTAGCCAGGAAATCTAAAGGGGCCCAGTAGAGTTTATGATGATGAACACAATGCTGGCTCTCATTAGTGTTTCTCAGGCTGGCTGCTCTCAAGGACTGGGCATACATAAAGCACCTCCTGTGTAAAATGATAAAACACAGAGGCTGGAATCAAAATGTTTACTACAGTTTCTGACAGGTATTCACATAGTATTTGTTTTTATCTTACCTATTTGAACTCTTTTTTGGGGTTAAGTTGTAAAGGTCTCTTTTCAAGTAACAGTCAACCCACATGTTTTTTCTATCATCCCGGCCCCCCCACCAAAAAAAAAAAAAAGACAAAAAAAACAAAAAGAAAAAATGAAGTCTCTTTTAAAAGTACAGTCAAACACCTGTTTTTATGATTTTATGATGATTACAGGCTGCGTCTGTCAGGAGTCGGACAGAAAATCACGTTCTTTTTAATCAGGCTGTTTTGGAGAGTGTTATCAGGTATGGAATTCCTGCATGGTTTTGGGAACCTTCCTGTGTCATTAAAATCAAAATCAGAGTTTCACATAGTAGCCTAAAAATAAGCAGAGACATAACCATAAATGACTGATGTCTCACAGTGTTTTTTTTTAGAGCCTGAGCACTGACCGCTGTGAAGACCTTTTGAAATGCAAGGAATTATTCTTATTTCCAAATTTTTTTTGAAGCTGCAACATGCTTGAAAACTCAGGAAACAAGGCACAAAATTCAACAGTGGCAGGAAGTTATGGATTATATAGGTCCCGCACTTGGCGTGGCAAAGTGGCTCGACAGCACCCCCTAATCTCAGTCCCTGAGCACGTTTTATTGATATGTATGAACAAAGTTTGTTGAATTTAGTGGTCGTTATTGGCGATTTGCACATGTCGTATTTTGACAAACTCCTCCTAGGGAATTGATCGGATCGACTTTAGATTTGGTCAGTCCAATCTAAACACCATCACAAATATATGTTGCTTTTTGCAACTGAGTGTCGTCAAACTCCAATGTTTCGCCAAACTGAACACATTTACATGACGACATTGAACAGGAAGCACCATCTACTGGAAAAAGGAAGTAAAGCTTGTCTGGCAGTCATCATCTGATTGGCGTGAAATGTTCAGGGTGTGTTTGTTTTTGTTTTGGTATTGTATTTCTGTGCACTCCTTAATGTTTCCTGCCACTTATATTGATGTGGTCTAGCCTAAGTCAATCTATTTTTAAGATCTAATTTGTACATTGTCCAAGAGGCTTAAGAGTGACAGCGATGTTTCTCAATATGCACATGTACAGCCCTCGTGCATTGATGTTGTTTTGGAGTTCAGGCTATTTTAAGGGGTTTTCGGTTTGATTCTCCATTAACCGTCTTCACAAGCGCCTTTTCATTACCAGTGCAGAGGAGTCTCAGCCTTCCAGAAAAAGGATACGTGGGATGTTCCCTCGCAGCTGAGGGATGAGGCAACCCACTAATTAGAGACTGGCTGAGGGAAAGTATAGCATCAAATAGACTTTTGCTCCTTAAATACAGCACTGCCCCCCTTAGCTGCAATAAGAAGTCTTCTTTTCTATTTAAAGAAGCCATCGTGGATGCTGACCGTACTCTTATGGCACATATTCTTGGATAACAAAGAGTGAGACTGTGGTGGACACACATGGCTCTACATTCAGATACTGTAAATGTAAAAAAAAAGGGAAGAGAAGGGAATGGTTGTTATCCCAGATGTTTTAAAGGGACAGTTATTTAGAGGATGGTTCAAAAGGGGGCAGTTTTTGGTCTCTTGAGAGTCTGTGGTCCTTGAGGAATGGACCACTGACCTGACCCAAAAGAACCACACTTAATCATGGTTGTCCAGAGTACTTCTCTATAAAACCACCAGTGAAACCGACATTGTGACTGTGTAGGTCTGCTCACAATTGACCTACAGGGAGGAACGATAAACTGTCCAAATGCTTAAGTGGGGGCCTCTGGTTGGTGGTAAACCACTGCTTCCTGTCCAATTACGTCCCCACAAATCTTCTTATTTTGTGACAAAGACGCAGAGGAGGGACACTTTTTTTTAAAACGGCTGGTGCAGAGGGATAAACCTTCCTCTCAAAAGTAGTGGGAGGTTTCTGAAAACGTCCCTACAACAGATTAAATAAAAAAAGCGCTGCGGAGAAAATTGTCTTTTCACAGCAGATATTTGGACTTGTCACAGCAGGAAGCGCACAGG